GCTTCGGCCGCAGCTAAATACAATGAGCGTATGTCCAGAGCCGACGATATTGAGGGAAATATAGGGCCGCTGTGCCTCCCCCGCCGCTAGATATTGACCTATGCGAGTTGCATCGGGCCCAGTTCTAGTTCTGGCTGTTGATTGGCGGAGAACGCGTGCTTTTGGTGGCCTGTTTTTGGCAGAGAGGCGGCCTGGAATTTGCCATCGAAGCGTCTGCAGCCGGCTTAGGTAACGCACGTCCGGGGGCGACCAGTCTCATGATAAGTGCAGTCTTCTGAGTTCGTGCACTAGGCATGCACTGCTGTACATTATTAGAGTCTGTCTGGGCTGGCGATAAACCCTCTTATCCTCATCAATAAGCCAGGCTGCCAGGCCTGAGCCTGGGTCGAGAATGCGCGAGAATTGATCCTGTGGACAGGGGTTGTATCGAGACATACCATCACAATGTCGTATCTATTTCCTGTTTCGCGAATCTTCTGACAACGCTACGTGCGTGAACTGTGGTAAAAACCAGATACATCACTCAATTTTCGATCGCGTATGCCCGGCGTATGCCAGAGAGAAGGAAATCATCGCACTAAACACCACGAAAAATATCTCGTTTCGTGAAACGACGGACCTATATATGAACAAAGCTACCCAAAGATATCGTATGCCACAGCAACCAAAGCTTCTGTACGCCCGAAATCTCCTTAGATCAACTACTGGAGTGCAGCTCATTTCACGACTTACATCGTTCGGGCTGTCGGCTGTACCGGCGTCTCAGGTGCCCGCATCGGCAACACTGTCGTTCCCTGTCTCGTTTGTAAGCTGCGCCCGCTCTGAGGCGCAGGCCAGCTCGCCAGTCATTACGCCGCCGCCTCACCCCCCACCAGCGGAAAGCAGTGAGTGGACCGTAGTCCGCCGGGGCCGAACCCTCCGGTCTTCGCCGATAAGCACGCGGTCACCGGCTTCAGAGCCGTGCTCCCCAGGAGCTTCACGTTCTACAGCATTGAGTGAGACAATGGGACGGACACTGGACAGCCTGGAGCGCCATGAGGTGGAGAAATGCACGCGCGAGGCCAAGCGTGCGCACGTTCTGGAGCAGGAGATGTCAGAGACAGCCAGTCGGCCGTCGGGTGCAGGCCCAGAGTCGGCTCCTACAGGGGACTCCACCGTCCGGGAGAAGGGTGGAGGCTCCGTCAGCTGCTGCAACGACCGCTGCTGCCTTGCGGCAGCCAGAGATGGGTCCCCCGGGCCACTTCTTTTCCAGCGGCATCCCCGTCCAGAGCGGGGCGCCCTTATAGTCGTGGTCAGTCCGGACCTATCTCACCGTCAGAAGACGGCAGCCCTAGGGCTCGGCCAATAATTCGAACTTGTTCGGTTGAGTCGAGTATGCGAAGTGTTGTTCGGTTGGGTGGGGCACGCGGCCAAATTCAACAGTAGCGTTGAATTTGGCCGCTGCCAAATTTGTGGAGGGCTGGCGATAATAGCTACCCACGAATCACTACCCAGAATCACTACACAGATCTACCCAGTATCACTACAAACACACGAAACACTACCCAGAATCACTAATCTAATCAGAATCACTAATCTAATCGGAATCACTAATCACTATCACAATTACTAATCACTACCCAGTATCACTACAAACACACGAATCACTACCCATAATTTGTCCGCTAACAGCGGCCAAATTCAACAGTAATGTTGAATTTGGCCGCTGGTGCGATTTCTGCTATATGGTGACCAGGACATTTGGGTACGGTTTTCATCCCTTCTAAAACGCCCTTTACAAGCGCTGTTAGCAGAGGGACACGGAGGCATAAGCTGCGCCCCGAGGAACACGAGAGGCATAAGCTGCGCCCCGAGGAACACGGGAGGCATAAGCTGCGCCCCCATGTTTTAGTTCTGCGACGGATATTTTACAATGGAACTGCAGTGGCGAGACCTCATGTGCAGTATCTCCAAGTTCTTGTAAATGACGGCTGTCCAGTGGTCGTCTGTCTGCAGTAGACGAAATTGCGGCCGGATTCATATTGGACGATCAAAGGCTATTCAGTGTTCCGTCGAGATGAGCCATCGCGCACAGTCGCGTATAATGACGTTCTTTTGTCTATTCACCATGGCATGTCTGCCCATCTTCTCGTAGCCGCCACAATCTTCCAGGCTGTGGCAGCTCTAGTCAGCTTTAATAACTGACTTATCACGGTGTGTTCGGTGTATATGCCACCTGGAGTTGCGTTTCCCGTGACAGAGCTCAGCACTCTGGTGTTGGGCATTCTCCCCCCCCCCCCCGTCATAATTTTGGGGGATTTCAAGGCGCACCACACCGTTTGGGGATGCGACCACACAAACAAGCGTGAGCACTGGCGTGAACATTTCATCCACACATATTCACTGTGGTGGTCTTTCAGAACTATCTGAGGTAGTTGACGTCTTTTCAATACTGGGGCTCGAACGCACATTACGCCGCCCTCGGGCCGGACGTCTGCTATCGGCCTCAGTCTTTTGAGTCCACAGCTCATGACGTGTGTCACCCGGCATGTCGCCAGCGATCCCAGAGACAGCAATCAATTTCCGGTGCGGCTGAGCTACCAGGATAGATCCGTACTTGGACCTCGACCTCAGAGATGGAATTGTAGAAAATGTGACTGGTGGGAGTTCGAAACTCCGCCTAGGCTCTGTGTTCCCAACTGGCGCACTTAGAGAACCTATACCCGCCGAAGTCATCACGTTCTTGCTTTTAAACGCCGCTCATGGTCGCATTCCAAAAACCACTGGGGCACCGCGTCG